CGAGTGCTGGGATTAAAGGTGTGCGCCACCACCGCCCAGCTTCATTGGATTATTTTTTTAAAAAATACTTTATTTAACTTTATTTTATGTGCATTGGTGTTAGGATACAAGATCCCTTGGTACTGGAGTTACAGGCATGTGTGAGCTGCCATGTAGGTGCTGGGAATAGAACCCAGGTCTTCTGGAAGAGCAGCCAGTGCTCTTAACCACTGAGCCATCTCTCCAGCCCTCATTTGATTATTATTATGTGTTTTGGTTATGCATAAATTCCTTTTCACTATTAAAAAATAGAATCTACTCAGGAACACCAAAGGCAAAAATATTTTGGTCAGTCCTTTCCAATTTTTTTTCTCTGAATTTGGAAAAGTGTATGCAATTTTTGAGCAACAAAAAATATAGAGTTTTGTGACTTTTCCTTCCTAATATTTTGAACTGTTTCTTTACCAACAACCAGACCCTATGCTTTGACTTGTGGTGGCTCTGTCTAGGTTTTGTCTAGGCATTTTGTTGTTTTGTTTTTGCTTTTTGAGGAAGGGTTTCTTTGTAGCTTTTGGAGCCTGTCCTCGAACTTGCTCTGTAGACCAGGATGGCCTCAAACTCACAGAGATCCTCCTGCCTTTACCTCCCAGGTGCTGGGATTAAAGGTGTGCGCCATCACCACCCAGCATCTACATGTTCCAAACCAGGAGGAGAAAGACCACCAACCCAAATCATGACCAAATTAATTAAAGCAAGCAATCAATTAAAACAAGCTTTTTTATTTGTGTCCATGGGTTACCTTCCCCTAAGGCAGGGTTCTAGAGGTCAGCCTTGGATGTGAGGAAGACAAGGCTTTTACAATTCGGGCAGAGGGTTTCAAGTGGGGGTTGGTGGCAAAATCGGTGGGGTTACAGGAGCAGAGCGGGTTCTAGAGGTCAGCCTTGGATGTGAGGAAGACAAGGCTTTTACAATTTGGGCAGAGGGTTTCAAATGGGGGGTTGGTGGCAAAATCGGTGGGGTTACAGGAGCAGAGTATCATAACAAGTTGGTCCTAATGATCCCGTGAAACAAAGATACAGTTGCAAGGTGGGCACAACAGGGTGGTTATAACAACAGGTAGTCATAACAACCTTTCGAAACAAAGATAGAGTTGCAAGGTGGGCACAACAGGGTGGTTATAACAACAGGTAGTCATAACAACCTTTCGAAACAAAGATAGAGTTGCAAGGTGGGCACAACAGGGTGGTTATAACAACAGGTAGTCATAACAACCTTTCGAAACAAAGATAGAGTTGCAAGGTGGGCATAACAGGGTGGTTATAACAACAGGCAGTCATAACAACCTTTCAGAAACAAAGACAGAGTTGCAAGGTGGGCACAACAGGGTGGTTATAACAACAGGTAGTCATAACAACCTTTTGAAACAAAGATAGAGTTGCAAGACAGTTATAACAACTTTTTGAAATAAAGACATGATTGTCATTCCTGGGACAGGCAGTACAGAACCATTTGTAGTTAAGGTTTAGGTGGGGCATGGCCCAATCCTTGAGAAACAGAGGTTTGATTATAAATAGAAAGGAACCTAATTTGTCTTTATTGTAAGCCTAAAATGGAGGCAGGCTGGTTCTTCACTCTCCCTTGTCCTATGCGTCCCTGTCAAGTCCTTGATAGGGTCTTAGCATTCTTTATCTGGGAAAACAAAATTTGCATTGCATCAAAAGATGCACTGTTCATTAATAAATTGTTCCTGTTTGGTTAGCATAGATAGAACAAATATTTTAAGACCATATACTCTTGGTATGTCAATAGGTACTATAGTTAGCCATCTTGTCCCTTTGCCAGGGAATATCCTTGGACTTAATATTCCAGTACAAGGGGTGCTGTATTTTTCTTCTGAAACTACTTCTGGATGAAATTAAGACACCATTGTCAGGGCTCAGGAAGGCTGGAATGTTAGCCAAGAGCCAGGAGGGGATTACAGCAATGGGACATTCATCAGGAGCATCGGTTCACTGCCCAGCCAAAGAATCAGGGAGCAATCACATCTACTGGTCTGGTTTACATCAGCTTTCAGCAAGTCCAGGGCTTTCCAATTTTGTGAACTACCTGGGGATGGGACAGTGTAGATCACTTTTGAAGCCAGTTGTAGTTGAAAGCTGATTTCTGGACAGTGTCTGCCAGCTGAGTGGCACTCTGCCAAAACAGACAGACTAGGGACAAAAGTTAAAGAACTTAAAGGAAACTTTATATTTGGCATTTCCCCCTCAGGAAAAGGTGACAGCAGGGAAGCTCAGGCTGATTGACAGGAGTACTTACCTGGAGTCCATTTGACATGTGAGAGGTGGATTCAAGACTTACCGACTTTCTCGATTCCTGAAAGCTTACATTATCATTGTAATTTGTCATAACTTACTTAGACTTTATATCCTTAGATGTTCATAATTTAAATTATCTTTAAACCTTTGTAATTTTTATAAACCTTAACATTTGTATCCAATTACCATTAGACATACATAAATAGTTGGTTACTAAGAGCAAAACAAGTTCCTTTAAATAGTAAAGTTATATCTGAAAACTATTTATCATTTAATGTGAACCCTATTACTAAGCAACCTGTGTGTGAGTTTGCCTTTTTTGTCAGGTGACATAATCATTCTAGAACAGTAAAGCCTAGTTTTCATATGTGAAATTCATTGACCAGGCAGCTGCTGTTAAATTGATGAAGCTACAGTTAGCCGTCAACATTATCAGAGATCTGAGAAAGATAACTATACCAGGAAGGATAACCCAAGTGGCCTATGTGTCAATTAAAGTGACAGAGACTTACCCACTACCTAGACAGGTGCCCTAGGCTCCCATGGTCTCAATGGCTTCACTGGGGGCCCCGGTTGTAGGTCTTCAGCTACCACACAGGACAGCTTTGGCCTCAGGCTACCAGACCCAGGTCTGAGAGATTTTTCTGTGGAGGAGGAACTTGAGGGACTCACCTTATTTTGGCAAGGCAGATTAGAGCAGTCAACCCAACAGTGTCCACAGTTTGTGCAGGGCCCTGGCAGCAGGCAAGGCATGGGGCAGTTTCGCCCAGTAGTTAGCATTACCACAATCAGGTGGAATGGTTGTGCCCCATCTGTCTTCTTCTTTTTTAAAAAGATTTGTTTATTTTTTTTATGAATACAGCCTCCATGTCTGTCTGCACGCCAGGAGAGGACACCAGATCTCATTACAGATGGTTGTGAGCCACCATGTGGTTGCTGGGAATTGAACTCAGGACTTCTGGAAGAGCAGCCTGTGCTCTTAACCTCTGAGCCATCTCTCCAGCCCCCATCTGTCTTCTTTGGACAGGGTTCCTGGTAGGAGCATGCCTGGTACCCAAAGAGGCCAGAGGTGTCAGATCTGCTGGAATGGAGTAGATGGTTATGAGCTGCCATTCAGGTGCTGGGGATTGAGCCTGGGCCCCAGGGTAGTTAGTGCTCTTAACTGCTGAGGTGTTTCTCCAGCCCCTTGCAGGTTTAGGGGTTTTGTTTTGTTTTGTCGTTTCTGTTATTTGTTTTGTTTTATTTAAATTGAGGTGATGGCCAGGGAAGATGGCTTAGTGAATAAAGTGCTTGTTGCTTGAGCAACAGGATCAGAGTTTGGATCCCAGTACCTTTGTGAAACCAGGCCTGCAAAGGGTGCTTGCAACCCCAGTGCTGGGAAGAAAGGCAGAGACACAATGATCTCTGTATCTTACTAGCAAGCTGGTCTAACCAATTGCTGAGTTTCAGGTTCAGTGAAAGGCCCTGTCTCACATGTGGAGAGCCAGAGAGACAGGGTTTCTCTGGCTTGAGGCTGCTTGGGGCTCTTTCTGTTTCCTACTGGTTCTGTCTTTTCTCTTCTCTTGGCCCTGTTTGAGTTGTTTTCTTTTCGTCTCTCTACTGATGTGGATTAGCTACTTCTCTTCATTGTTATTGTGGAAGTATTGATGTGGGCTGAAGCTCAGTTGGTAGAGCATTTGCCCAGCACACACACAGCCCTGGGTCCCTTCTCCAGCACCACATAAACCAGACACAGTGGTGCACACTTGTAATCCCAACACTCAGCAGGGGTTGTCAGGACTATCAGGACTTCAAGGTCATCCTTTGACTCCAGCCTAGGCTATCTGAGACCTATCTCAAAAGAAAAATAGTTAATTAATGAGTTTACAAGGTTGAAACACTACAACCATTCATTTCTTTCCCCAACATTTTTAGCTTCATGCTTTCCACATGTGATTCATAGAAACTGCCCATCAACTAGTATGCTTGTTAAATCCCAAACTGCTCTTCCATGCAGTGTGTGTTTAAAATTGGCATCATCTTTGATTTGCCCTTTCCTCTCAGGTCCTCAGCCCTCCTCAGCCCTACTGGGGTCATGCTCCTGACTGAAGTATGCTTCCCAAGTGCTGGGATTAAAGGCATGCACCACCACTGCCTGGCTGCTTTTGCCTTTTAATTTGTATATTTCTTTCTGTTAGAAGCAGTGCAGGCATGTCACAATGCACACTTGTGGAGGTCAGAGGACAATTTGCAGGAGTCAGTTCTCTCCTTCCACCACGTGGCTCCCAGGGATGGAACTCGGGTCATGAACCTTGGCACCAAGTGCCTTTCCCACCTAGCCATCTGAATGGTCCTGTATGTTTTATTTTAAATTGGTATTTTACTTCCAGAACTTCAATTTGTATTGGAGCTTCAAACATGTCTGGGGCTGGGTGGATAGCTCAGTTGGTAAAGTGCTTGCTGAGCAAAGCTCAGGACCCAAGTTTGATTCTCAGAACTCATATGAAAAGGCCATCATGGTCATAGGCACTTGTAATATCGGCTTGAGTGTCTTGCTATGTAGTTTTAGGCTAACCTCAGATCCTTAATCCTTTTACCTCAACCTCTTTTTTGTTTGTTTGGGTTTTGTTTGTTTGTTTGAGACAGCCCTAGCTGGCCTGGAAATAGCTCTGTAGACCAGACTGGCCTCACAGAAATCTGCCTGCCTCTGCCTCTCAAGTGCTGGGATTAAAGGCATGCGCCACCACCATCTCAAAAATTTGAGATTTTTCTTCAAATCTCTTAAGTGCTCAGATTATAGCTGTGCATCAACACACCCAGCTCCCTCTCCCACCATCCCCCAAGACAGGGTCTCACTCTGTCTCCCTGGATATCCTAAACTTGTTATGTGTAGACCAGGCTGACCTCTAACTCACAGAGAGGAACCCACCTCTGCCTCCCAAGTGTTGGGATTATAGGTTTGTGCCTCCACATCCAGCCTAGGTACCAGACTCTATACTAAGCCCCTCAAGACACTGATACCTAAGACATGATCGTCCATTGTTCATAACTTAAGTTTAAGAAAACTGAAGCTCAGCATAGTGGCATATGCCTTTTATTCCAGCACTTGGGAGGCAGAGGCAGAGGCAGGTGCCTCTCTGAGAGTTGGAGGCCAGCCTGGTCTATAGAGCAAGCTCCAGGACAGCAAGAACAACAAATGAGAGACCCTGTCAAAAGAAAAGAAAAGTATGATAAAATTGAGGCTCTGATTCATGACTCTAAACTTTCCACTAAGCAGCCCTGCTCTGCACCTTCACTAGCTGTGCTGAGGACCCTCCCACAGACCACGTGCTTCCTGGGTGTAGGGACAAGCCAGGCCCGGAGAAAAGTGTTCAGGAGCCTCCCCAGGTCAGGGAAGCCACCTCCTGGTTCCTGGGAACAGACACATAGCCTCCTGACCTCAGCCCCAGCAGGGGTCCCAAGCCAGCTACCTTCTGGCTGAGGCTGGCCCAAAAGGGCAGCCCCAAGGTGTTTTCTCAAGCTGGTTGAAGAAACAGCCCAGCAGTGTGGCTTCCTGCTGAGATAACCTCTGCTTTCCTGTGCCCCTTCCCACTTGGCCGGAAGACAACAGGCTCTATCTTACCCAGTGCAAGAGGACAGAGCATGGGTTGGAATGTGTCCCCTGATAACAGGGTTTGTGTGGGGCTGGGATCAGGGTGGGCTGCCCATCCCAGGCTCTCTGGGATGTGTGGGGCTGGATGATAAGGGCTCTGCAGGGGCCTTGGTCCTGAAGCCTTGCTCACCAGCTCTGGACCAGAGCTGAGAAAGAGGCCCAGACCTTGATCACATGTGCAGGAAGCTTAGCATGGGCTGTGTCCTGTGTGGTGTAGAGGGAGGAGGGGGAGGAAGACAAAGTCTCCAAAGGGTCCCAGTGTGAGAAGCCAGAAGTGTAAAGAGGAGCACGCCAGGTGTGATCAAATCCTACACACACACCACCAGAACAACCGAGTTAAACAGCAGTGATCTTCTGGGACTAGTGGCACAGGCCAGGAACGGCAGCGTTTTGGGTGGCAGAGGCAGAATGATCTCAAGTTCGAAACTATCCTGAGCCAAAGAGTGAGATCTAGCTGAAAAAAAATAAATGAGGGCCTGGGGTATAACTCAGTTGACAGAGTGCTCACATGCATGAAGTCCTGGGTTTGATTCCTCATACCTCATAAAACAGCACTCAGGAGCTGGGGCTGGAGGTCAGAGGTTCAGTCATCCCTGGCTGCATAGTGGATTTGAGGCCAGCCTGGAATACAATAATTATTATTCTTAATTAATAATTATTAATAATTAAAATGATGATGAATGGATATGTGAGTATGAGTTCTGGAATCAGTTTAGGCTTGAGTTCAAAGCCCATCTTACCCCTTAGTATCAGGTAGCTTTGTTCTGTAGGTGTCAGTCTCCCCAGCTTTCACAGAGCAATGTTGGAATTCCAAGGGCCAGGTGGCCAAAGAGTGATCCTGTTCTTACAAGGCCACCGGAAGTTCTGCAACAGCCATGCCAGGAATGTGGCAGAGAGTTGGGCAAGTTCCTGGAGTCTGGGGCAGGAAAGGCTACAAAGGCCAAGCAGCCAGAGCTGAGAGCCATTCTCTGGGGGATCCGATCCTTCCCCCTTGCCTTGCATCTGCTTTCTTCCCTGCTGACCCAACTACTGTTACAGCTGACCCATGTGAATTCCTTGTCCCCATCAACTAGCACCTACCCAGAGTGACCAGAGTCCCTGGAACCTAATGTTATGTGCCTCCAATGGCTTAAGCACAGGGCCCCTAGTGAAGTCCACCCAGCTATGGCTGGGGCCCTGGGTAGGCAGGTGGTGAGCTGAGTCATAGGACCCTGGCTTCCAGGACAGGTGTGGGCACACAGCAGGCCCTCTGCACAGCAATTTCTAGGAGAATAATTCTTGTACCTTAGCACCAGAGCTCTTAAGGGTGCTGTCTGGGGACAGCCCTGAGTGGGGTACTGGTCTCTACTTACCATGGAGGGCACAGCCTGAGGTGGACATACAGGTGGGAGGTGTCAAAAGTGTCCCTGCTGCCCCAGGACTTCTGTGTCTTGTGATGCTGCAATTCAAGAGCCCCCTGACTCAGCAGGTTATTAATAGCCCTGGCAGGTTCCCAGGGGACCAACCCTGCCAGAAGCTACAAAAGGACTTCCAGACAGGGCCTCCCTGTATCCATGGCTAGTCCTACAGCCCCTGGCTACTTCCTCATTTCCTCCTCCCCAGCCCCCTGCTGCCCCAGAGCCGCCCCCCCAACTCTAGAAGGAAGCATAGGGGTGGACTCCCCTCCCCACCTCTGAGCAGTCCTTCATAGGTCTCAAGGGGCTTAAGAGACCCACCTGGAAAGGACCCAAGTTCAACTTCAGGCTCTGGTTTCCGATGTACAGAGTGCACACACCGTGCTTGTTTCTCACTGTAAAATGGGGAATCTCACTGAGGCTTCTCATTTCTGGTTTTGCTGTGAGGACAAAATGAAGTAGTCGTCACAAAGGGCAAAGCTTGGGACTGACATCTGTTTGTTTTCCTAAACAGGGTTTCTCTGTGCAGTCCTGGCTGCCCTGGAACTCACTCTGTAAACCAGGCTGGCCTCGAAATCAGAGAGATCCACCTGCCTCTTCTGGAATTAAAGGTGTATGCCACCATGCCCAGCTTTTTCATAGGGATGGGGGTGGCACTGACATCTTGTCATCCCTGTAACCACATCTCTGGGTCTCCACACAGCTGGCTGTCAGCACATTCTAGACTGGGTTTCTGTCATCCCACACCCTCTAGTGTTCATGGGTTGTTGTTGTAGCAAGCCCTACCTGTGTGGACTCACCTGCTTTTTTTTTTTTCTTTTTGATTTCTTTGTTCTTTTTTTCTTTCCCTCCCTCTCTCCCTTCTGTTTCTTTTTTTTTTCTGCTTGTTTTTGTTTTTTGTTTGCTTTTTTTTTTTTGAGATAGGGTCTCCTGTAGCCCAGACTGACCTGCAAGTCTCTATTTAGCTGCAGATGACCTTGAATTGCCGACCCTCCCTCCGTCCTCCTCCTCCTCCTCCTCCTCCTCCTCCTTCCAATGCATAGGATCATAGGAAATGCAATCATGCCCCCTTCCAATCACTTTGGGAGCTTAACAGCCTGGACAGAGTGGTTTGGGCATTCTTGGGATGAGTCCTGGCTTATTGGGTACTGGGGTGGAACTCTGGACTCCTATGTGCTAGGACCACACTCTTCAACTGAGACCATCTTCAGCCCCACAAGGTGTCCTTTCTGATCCAGGTCTCTGTCGTGAACGCATAGCACAGAAGACTGGAATGGAGACGGCCCCCTCCCTTCCCTTTGGGAGCTCAAACGACCGGACAGATTGGTTTGGACACCCTTGAAATGAGCCCTGGGGTCTTGGCACTCAAATTTGTTTGACAAACCACAAGGTCTCTGAACTCCTGAGTCTTTATCTGCAAAGAGGCCATGAGACCTTGGGAAGAAGTGTTGGGGAGAGAGGGACAGAAGGAGCCAGGAGGAGGCAGCCAGGGAGGCCACAGCTGATAAGCACAAGCACAGGAGGGCCCTTGAGGGTCTGGGAAGCCATAAAGCCCATGTAAGTCAAGGTTATCAGGACTGGAGTGAGGCCAGGGACAGGAGGTAAAGAGACACAGAGGACTAAACGTCATGATTACTGTGGTAGGATGCATGGCAATGATCACAGGACTGTGTGGCTGTGGGGACCAGTGTCAGAAACTCCCATCCAAGCCCAGCCCAGACCCCACTACCCTCTGTGGCTGAAGCTAACCTGTTTTCCCACCTGCATCCTGAGGAAGTTGGCCTAATCACAGCTATCTGCCTGAAACCTACCTCCTTTACCTTAGCCCCAGTCTGTTTGTGCTGCACAGGGACCTCCAGCTAGTCCAGGCTTGGGATCCTGACCCTCCAACCCAGACAAGTACATCCATCCTGACCTCGGCCAGGATGTGAGGCACAGATATGATGGACACTGTTTTGCTCTGATGGCACAATGTTGGGCCTGGGTCTGGGGGTTTAGCCCACTCCCCATGTCTGGCCCTCTGTTACAGACTGCTATCAGTCAAACTGTGCATCCCTTAAAGTAGACGCATTGGGATCCTAGCCCTAAGCCCCCAAATGTTACCTTATTTTTGTCTTTACAGCCTTAGTGAAGCTGCAATAAGGTCATCAGGATGGTCCTAGCTTACTAAGATCACTATCTTTATTTGAAAAAGATAAAAAAAAAAAGGCAGGATCTGGCAGAACAGCAGGTAAGTGGTGTGTTTGCCATCAAGCCTGCCAACCTGAGTTCTATCCCTAGGATCCACATGGGGAAGGAGCTCCCATCAGTTGTTCTCTGACCCACACACAGGCATTATGGCTGGAACACATTCACACACAAATAATTAAACATGGAAGGAAGACTAGGAGACAGCAGCTCTGAGGCTTTATTGATAAAAAAAAAAAAGCTCACACTAGGCCCAGGGTTCTAGGCTCAGTCCCAACAAAAAGAACAAGTAAAGTTAGGGCTGGGGCACTGCTCAGTGGGCAAAGTGCAAGTATGAAAGTGTGAGGACCTGAGTTCAGACCGTTGCCACCTGTGTAAAAGCCAGGAGCAATAATAATCTCTAATCCCAGCACTTGGGAGGCAGAGGCAGGCAGATCTCTGAGTTCAAGATAAGCCTGGCCTACAGAGTGAGTTCCAGGACAGCAGGGTCTACACAGAGAGACCCTGCCTTGAAAATTAATTAAAATCAGGTGGAGAAAGACAGAGACAACTGAAAACACACTGGGCAGGGGCACAGAGCAGACACATGCAGAGAGAAGAGGCATAAAGGCACAGGAGGAAGGTGGTCTGGACAGCTGGAAGACAGCAGAGGTACATTCACCAGCCAAGGAATGGAGCCAGAGGCTTCCAGAGGAGATAGAGACAGCCCTGCCCTGGGTCTTCAGAGGGAACAAGGCTCTGATCACACCTTAGCCTTGAACTTCTGATTACCCCAACTTCGAGGCAATACATTTCTGTTGTTTAAGCTACACAATTTATGGTACAGAGTCCCTACCAAACTAAAACACAGCACCCTAACCCTTGCAATGCAATAAGAGCATTCAAAATAAAATTAAAAGCCTCCTGAGTTAATATAAATTTCTCTTATGGAAATTCAAACTTAGGCAGCCTTTCCTTAACTCTGTGAGTTGTATATGTGTGTACAGATGACTGTGTGTGTGTGTGTTAAGGCCAGGGGTAGTTGATGTCACTGGTTTCATGGAGGAAATGTGCCGGAGAGCATAGACAGAGGCAGGGGCGTCTGGGAAAGTCCACAGAGGACAGGCCTCTAAGCCATGTGAGGAGACCGGAAGCGGGAAGAACAAAGGGGAGAGGGAGGTAACCAAAATGGTTGGATTATCTAGGGAAGAGCAGCTGCGGTAAAGGCAACCCACCCAGTCCCTGGGCTGGAGATGGTTAGGGTAGGGGACCAGGAAGGGCAGGACGAATGGGGCCCAAGTAGGGACAGCAAACCCCAGAGAGTTGCTTGTCTCTACCCCACCCCGGCACCAGTGTGGAGGTTACAGACACACGCTGTAGCACCCGGCTATCACGCAGGTGTTTGGGCATCCAAACCCAGGTCTTCAAGCTTGTGTAGCAAGCAGTCTGCCAGCTAAGTCTCTCTCTTTCTCGTCTCACCGTGTAGCCCTGGCTAGCCTTGAACTTGCTATCCTGCTTTTGCCTCCGAATGCTAGAGCCCCATAACACCCTGGAACCTTTTGCTGTAGGCCAGGCTGACCTTAAACGCGCAGTTCTGCCTGCTCCTCCTGTGTCCAGACCGTACTCTTTCCCCTGAGCTCGCTTCCTGTACCCAGGCTCTGTGTTCTCGTGGAGAGCCCAGAGACAACCTAGCGAACCCTCCTTCCAGATCTTTAGCGCCCAGTGAAGGGACAAATATAGGTCTGTGACACCCCCTACTGGCTAGCCTCAGATATAGCATAGCAATCATCTCCCAGGGCCCAGGAAAGGTGTTTGTTCGCTGGAGATTTAGGGTACGCAGGTGAAGGCGCATCAGGCGCTAACAGTGGAACATTTGTACCTGCTGACTAGAGAAGTAGAGGAAAATCTCACAGAACCTGGACGGCAAGAAAGGGCCCTTCCAAAGAAACGCACGGGGCAGGGTAAGATGCAAATACTGTGTGTGGAAGGTTGGAATCTCCATTATAGGTGAGTTTAAAGACAGGGGACAGAAGCCAGACGGTGGTGGTACACACCTTTAATCACAGCACTTGAGAGGCAGAGGTAAGTGAACCTCTGTGAGTTCGAGGTCAACCCAGTCTGCAGAGTGAGTTCCAGGACAGCCAGGGCTACACAGAGAAACCCTGTCTTGAAAAAAGAAAAAGGAAAAAAAAATGTGGTACAAATATATATATATATATATATACATATATAATTTGAATTTTTGGAAACTTTAGCTGTGCTGTCAACTTTGGAAAAAAGTATCACAGTTTACCGTGTTGAGTTGGCATTGTACAGAAATTAACAGCCATATTGGTCTAGAAATGTTGAACTTAATTTTTGCCATTTGTTCAGGGATAACGCACTGTATTAAATATGTAAGGTCTTATCTACGTGGGTTGTGCACACCTGTAACACCAGCAGCACTCAGGAGACGGAGGCAGGAGGATTGGAAACTTAATGTCTTCCTTAAATTCACATTGAGTCTGAGGCCAGCCAGAGCTACATGAGACTGGGATATCTCACATGTGCAATCCCAGCACTCTCAAGGCTGAGGCAAACCAGCCTGGGCTACATAGTAAAGATTCTGTTTCAAAATCAAAATGAAAAATTAAATAAAAAAACTGGCAAAAGCAGTCCATGCCAGTACCATCTGTAGCATCTGTGTGGTGCCCTGTCTGCTGATGGAGGATGTGTGACAGTCTGGCTCTGCCAGCTTTCAACATTTGCTGATGAAAAAGATGGGAATTTCAGGTCCTTAACAGATTGTTGTTGTTGTTTCTTTTTCTTTCTTTCTTTCTTTCTTTCTTTCTTTCTTTCTTTCGTTTGTTTGTTTTTCAAGACAGGGCTTCTCTGTGGCTTTGGAGGCTGTCCTGGCACCCGCTCTTGTAGACCAGGATGGTTTCGAACTCACAGAGATCCGCCTGCCTCTGCCTCCTGAGTGCTGAGACTAAAGGTGTGTGACACCACAGCCTGGCTTTGTTGTTGTTTCTTTATGTTACTGTTTTGTTGTTTTCAGTTCTTTGTTTAGTTTTGTTTTGTTTTTTTACTACAAGTGTGTTTTATCACAAAGGAAAACAAATCATCCCCACGGGTGCATCAGTTTCTGCTTTTCTATTAAGAATATCAAGATCAGCTAGGCAGTGGTGGTGCACACCTTTCATCCCAGAACTCTGCTCAGGAAGCAGAGGCAGGCGAATCTCTGTGAGTTCGAGGCCAGTCTGGACTACAGTGTGAGTTCCAGGACAGCCAGAGCTACAGAGATGTTGCTTTTTA